TAAACAAGAAGGCAGCCCAAATAACTTACCAGTTTGCTTTTAATCAATGCTGTTTCTCACAATGCATTATTCTACCAAAGGGTTTAAATCACTAAGCACTAGAATTGTTGTTTTCAAACCTTTTAATCTAATTGGAAAAATCGTCATTTCTGCTGGTAATAAACACTCACTAAACTGTCTGCACCTAATTGAGCTATGGTAATTTATGAGAGCTCCCTACTGGTTTTTTCCCACTTTTTAATCAGACAGACGCCTCTCTGTCTTTAACTAATGAAATCTTAGAATTCACCCAGCAGTTCTGATCAAATGTCACTCTAGAATAAATCTTCATTAACATTGGTGCGCCCCATGTTTTCTTCCTTTGTTCCATGCTGTCTGCTGCCAAATGTTGTCCATACCACTGAGAGAACATTAGAGTTGATGAGGCAGTCAGTCAAAATGAACAAGGTCTTGATCACAAATGATTTGCCAAAATATCAATGGAAGAGAAAAACATATTTTCCCATTTGACTAGAACCTACCATTCATATTACATTAACAGAATAACACTTGGGTAATAACCCTCACTTACTTTTCAAGCTTTCACAAGAAAGATCCCAAAGTAACCAGGATTAAAGAATATAAATAAGCATGCAACCATAAACAGTTCCAGCTTTGTAAATTAAATGTTGTATTGAGCTTAGAAAGAAGCACATATTGTACAAGAAAAAATGATACCACCAGGATAAACTACCCAATTAATGCAGAGTTTGTCCTGATAAAGATATTTCAAAGCTAAATTAGCAGATCCCACAATGGAAGAAACATAATAAGTAGAACAAGCAATGCAATAGCTCATCTGCAAGAAAATACCCAAGCTCAGAGAACACCAAGGACCCATCATTTCAACCTTGAACTACAAATGTTCTCTTTTATTGGCATTTGGAAGGGAAACTTATGGCCTGTGTAAAACATAAAATAAATCTTTTGAATTCATTTTTGTCTATTATAGTATCAATGCACTACAAAGACATTGGAGTTAACAACCAACATGTTGTTGGAAGTTATTGTCTCTGACTTACATCTGTTCCAGAGCAGAAACCAATTGCATTAAAAGAGCAAAACTAAAAACAGCATGTTAACTTTAAATTCATGAGTAAAAAATCATGGGTGGATGTGTTTGGGGCATGTCTCAGATGTAAAATGCCACAAAAGTTCTCAACATTTCTGTAGAGAAAGGCAAAAGAGGCAACTTAGCATAAATTCATGAGTGCAAATCAAAATCCGCGACACAGAACAATAAGAAATCATATTTTTGTGTTCCAGAGTAGCACCAGTAAGAACATAAGTAACGAATAAAGAATTTGAAGACAAAACCAAGATGTGTGTGTTTCTGAACAACAGAACCCTCAGAGTATATCTTTGAACTTACGTTACTCTACCTTATAAGAGAAAACTAAAAGAAGAAAAAGAAAAATAGGAAAATAGTTTTGGGAAAATAAGGAGGGGACAAAGGGGAGGGGAGGCAAAGTAATTGAGCTTTAATTAATCTTAATTTATCTTACAAATACAGGTACAATTTTTTTTATTAGTTTATAATATAAAATACAAAAATACAAAAGAAAATAGTAGGGAAAATAGGAGAGTAAGAAGGGAAGGGAAAAGTGAAGGGAAAGGGCAAAAAAGAAAGAAAAGGCGTTGACTTCCAACTCCCGTCGGTGCAATAAAATAACATAATAGCATCGAACCTCAATTTTTTTACTTTTACATAAACTAGCCATTTCTATAACAAAAGCCTGTCTAATCGGTAAAACCCAAAATCAAAGTTTCATTTTTTTCCCACCTTGAGCACAAAGTTCAAAGTCAAGTAGAAACAAATGTAATTGTGTTTTTTGCTTAATCAAAGAAATCAATTTAGCCATCTCTGCTAACTCCATCAACTTTTGCAGCCATCCATCCATTGTAGGAATCAAAGTGTCTTTCCACTTTTGTGCATAAAGTAATCTTGCTGCCATCAACATAATATAACATTAAAGTTCCAGGTTTTTACTTTTTGAACTTTCTGTCAAAGCGGAAGAGAATTTTGGGTAGAATCTGGCATTCTTCCTCCTATTTAATTATAAGATGGCCTAAGGATGTGATAAATCTGAATTTTGTTGTACGTTTACCAATGGTTTGCATTCTTTCTTTCTTTCTAGGCTTCTTGGGCACCCTATTTCATTTGAATTTTAAAGATCAGTTTAATTAAAGAAAAATAAAATGAGCACGCTACAAAGAAAAGCACAATCACATTTATATAATATAGGAATACCTTTGAGGTTGTACAGAACATGCCGAATAAGCTAGTTCACTTTCTGATAAATAGGTATGTTGTGACCTTGATGGTGACCATTTTGAGAACAGACAAAAGTTTCATGTCAGCCATTTTGTGTGTATATCCATCATATGGACTCAACACTGTGAATGTGCCTTTGGTTTTTCTATCATCCAGAGACATTGAAAGAGATGCAGCAGGCAACAGCAATAGTAGTAGTAGCTAACTCTTCCATCACCACTGTTAAATTAAGTTCCAAAATCATGACAAATAATAGTAATAATGTATTAAAGTGTACATTTAATTTAAATATTTACGTTTAATTAAATTTAAATGATATTCTCAAATAGTATAAAAATAAGATTGAAAAACACAGGGGAAGAACACTTGCAGGACAGATTTTAGCATTATTGTATTGGATGTGATCCATACTTGCCCAAAGAGTTATAATCTAAGATGATTTGAACATAAGTGGAAGAATACCTTAAAAAGGTACTGACCCATCTGTAAGGCATCCATGAATAAAACCTTCCTTGGTCAGGAGGATATAATAATAATGATAATAATGCTAGCCTTCAGTTTCAAACAGAGGCAGCTAAATGCTAAAGTGCTTGGCCAAATGATAGTATTTAGCTTGCTTTCAGCATAATTCTGAATAACAGCCCATAATATAGGAGCTGAAGAGTTTTTATCATCTTTTTTCTGTTCCATATTATGCCATTGTCCTTAAAAGCACTGCAATTATCTGTTTCTTAAGTATTTATATGCTTTAAGAATGGCTCCCATTGATATTAGCAATTACAAATATATTCCTATAGTTAGTCAAAATGCAGGATGATAGATAGTAGACATATTTAATAATGTTATTTCACTTATAGACTCAGAGAAGGAACTTCCATATGTTACAATGGCTCAAAACATCTAATCTTTTAAATTCATAATAGCTAGATTTTACAGGGAGTAAGTTAAGCATAATTAATACTAATTAATAAATGTTTAAGCAGCCAAGAACTAATGTTTTCAAAGTGGTGTACAAATATAAAATATACGTTTAAGTAGCCCTAATGATAATAAAACACATCATACCAAAAGCAAAATAATAGAATGCATTTGAAGAGAAAGGAAATGAAAAGCCACATGTGGCTTTGAGAAAAACACCAAGAACAATTCATAGTGCCTGGGGCCAGTGCTTTTTTTCTAAAAAAAAAAAAAAAGGTGCCGGGACTCACACATGTCATACAACCTGCCTTGCCTACCCTACAAGGTTCCATCCAAAAAGGTGCCGGTACTCCGTTCTGGGCGTTCTATGAGAAAAAAAGCCCTGCCCGGGGCGATAATAATGTAAAGAACTAAAAAGAGCACCACTAGGAATATCTTTCCTTTTGGATGGTATTCAGCTAATTCCATGGCCATTTTAACCACAAGTTTCTTTCTTTCTTTTTAATTTCTGGAGCATTTTCAAAAACAGCTGCACATACTGTATAAAGCATTGCAAAAATGAAAAGAAGAGACATCAGAGTATGAACATTATTTATTTGTTTGTTTGCTTGTTTGTTTCATTTTGAATGCCATTCATCTCGCTATGAGGTGACTCTAGGTGCCTTAAAACCAAGTAAAAACAATAAAATATTAAAATAATAAATATTAACATTAAAATGGACTAAAATCATCAAAGATGAAAGAAGCTGCACATGGTATGGATGTGGAGTCTTAATCTCAAAAGATTAATATTGCTGATTTAGGATTATAGTTAATGTATTAGATTCAGTGAATAAACAGCACCACTGAAGCCACGTGTTAGTTCTACGCCACCTAGAGTCACCTCGTGATGAGATAGATAGCATACAAATTTAATGTTATACTTTTAAAATCTTGTTTCCATCTGATTGCTTTGGTAGATGGTTTAATAGCTTCAGTGGAAACATGTTAATAAATACCAATAACAATCAGTCCAATAGCACATCTAAAATTATTCCTAATTCTTTACATCAGGTTGTAAAATCTTTGTGTGTCTGTGTTTGCTTGTGAGCATCTAAAGCCACACTTGCCCTTTAAATACTAGGAATGAGTAAAAGCAAAAGCATGGAATAGGAGGGATTAGAGGGAAAAATCAACTAAATTAAATAGTTTCTCTATAATCCATGTATCATGCAAAGTGTACTATAATCCAAAAAGTTTCCAGAATAATACATCAGTTCATCTTTAAAGTGCTCTGAGATACTGGCCAAATCTGTCTGGAAATTAAATACATTTAGCATGATTACTTTCCATGCATTCAACATATTTTTTTTCTTCAGTCATATTATAAGATTGCATGTTTATTGGATCCGTGCCCCTCCTGGCTGGTACTGGCGGCTCGGGAGGGTACACGAGCCTGGCTCCAGGGAATTATAAACGCTTCTTTACGGGAGGGTGTCTTCCCCGCGATCCTAAAGGAGGCGGTGGTGAGACCCCTCCTGAAGAAGCCTTCCCTGGATCCAGATGTATTGGCCAACTATCGCCCAGTCTCCAANCAGGGCCCAGACTTGCTAATTACTAAGTGATTTTAGTTCTCTTGTAGCTGACAAGAAAACAAGTGTCCCTGTGATGTTGTATTACAATTCCCAGTGCCCTTTTGATGGGCTGCTAGGGACTGTAATTTAGCAATTTAAAAGGTCTGAAGCTGACCCAAGTGATATTTAATAATTCACTGTGGTAAAAAAGCTGAATCTGCTGTTCAACTTTCCTCCCATCTCCAGTTGTCCAGCCAATAGAAGGTAACATCTCAAAGGAAGAAGTCCAGTTCCTGGAATCTAAAAACGGGGTCAGGCTTTGTCCTCAGAATATATTTCAGCAAATACAGACTACAGAAGGCACCGAGGTGAGTTGGCAGACCTAGTTAGATCTATCCAAGACTTGGGCTTAAATACTGCACTTCATTGCACTCAGTAGCTGCTGTAAAGGATAGCCACAGATGTGAACTGAAAATCCATCTTTTGTAGCAGGAATTTTGAATATTTCTTAAATTCTCCTCATCCTGGCTTTTGGAAATATTACCTTGTTTTATTTCTAAAGCAGAAAAATGAGTTGGGATTCCTCTGTTCTATTAACAACAAATAAAACATGAAACTAAGAGACCTTTAAATATAATGTGACCGCAATACCTTCATTAGCTTTAAAAGTAGACAACTCATGGACTCTGTGGCTTCATAGAATTGCCATGTCCTCTGAATATTTGCTGCTGGTTACATGAAGGGGAAGGAAAGGGAAGTCTTGCCTTCAAATCAGGCTTGTGGGTTTCCTCAAGTACCTAGCCACCCACTATAGCAAACAGAAAATCAGACTATTTTGGGTCTGGTTTAACAATTTTATTTTTATGGTTAAGTGGAATACATCTTTAGATTCAAATAATCTCTAAACACTAAATTCTGAGTAATAACAAAACCATTGTATTTTTCAGCCTTGTTTGTAGATTTTGCAGTGCCAATAAGATCATACAGATGTTACTGAAATAGTTTCCAGGATCCCCCACCACTGACTAAGATTGATAAGAATTGGAAGAGCCCTAAACTAGATGAATGCTTGGCATAACTATAGTTCAGGATGAGAATCACTTTTGTTTTCCTATGCAGATCTACCCTATCAATGATCCCAAGACTCGTACACGCCTGGCTTTGATCATCTGCAATATCAAATTCGATTACTTAAAATTTAGAAAAGGGGCTGAGGTAGACTTGGAACAGATGACGCTTCTCCTAGAAGATCTGGGATACAAAGTGGAAATAATGACCAATTTAAACTCACAGGTAAAAAAAAAAGGAGGCGGTGGTGAGGCCCCTCCTGAAGAAGCCTTCCCTGGATCCAGATGTATTGGCTAACTATCGCCCAGTCTCCAACCTTCGCTTTGTGGCAAAGGTTGTTGAGAGTGTGGTTGCACAGCAATTCCCTCGGCACCTGGAGGAAACAGACTATCTGGACCCCCTCCAGTCGGGCTTCAGGCCGGGATACAGCACGGAAACGGCATTGGTCATGTTGATTAATGATCTCTGGAGGGCCCGGGACAGAGGTTATTCCTCTGTCCTAGTTCTTTTGGACCTCTCAGCGGCTTTTGATACTGTGGACCACAGTATCATGCTGCGGCGGTTGGGTGGGTTGGGAGTGGGAGGCACGGTTATGCGGTGGTTCTCCTCCTTCCTCACCGATCGTACGCAGTCTGTATTGGCAGGGGGACAGAGGT